AATGTATATGAGAACGATCCTTCGCAGTAAAGCACTATTTGAGCAATAGTGAAAATCAGACCTGAAAAAAATTTCAGGCCTGTACGGGATTCGAACCACTGACCTCTGCGATACTAGTGCAGCGCTCTACCAATTGAGCTAACAAGCCAACTGGGAGCAGGCCATCAAATTAATTCGATATAAACCCGTAGATGATAAATCAAACAACAACAAACATATGAAACATATGTGTGAACTGCGGTTATGAGACGTATATGAGAACGATCCTTCGCAGTAAAGCACTATTTGAGCAATAGTGAAAATCAGACCTGAAAAAAATTATAACCGTCTCATAACCGCAGTTCACACATATGTTTCATATGTTTGTTGTTGTTTGATTTATCATCTACGGGTTTATATCGAATTAATTTGATGGCCTGCTCCCAGTTGGCTTGTTAGCTCAATTGGTAGAGCGCTGCACTAGTATCGCAGAGGTCAGTGGTTCGAATCCCGTACAGGCCTGAAATTTTTTTCAGGTCTGATTTTCACTATTGCTCAAATAGTGCTTTACTGCGAAGGATCGTTCTCATATACGTCTCATAACCGCAGTTCACACATATGTTTCATATGTTTGTTGTTGTTTGATTTATCATCTACGGGTTTATATCGAATTAATTTGATGGCCTGCTCCCAGTTGGCTTGTTAGCTCAATTGGTAGAGCGCTGCACTAGTATCGCAGAGGTCAGTGGTTCGAATCCCGTACAGGCCTGAAATTTTTTTCAGGTCTGATTTTCACTATTGCTCAAATAGTGCTTTACTGCGAAGGATCGTTCTCATATACGTCTCATAACCGCAGTTCACACATATGTTTCATATGTTTGTTGTTGTTTGATTTATCATCTACGGGTTTATATCGAATTAATTTGATGGCCTGCTCCCAGTTGGCTTGTTAGCTCAATTGGTAGAGCGCTGCACTAGTATCGCAGAGGTCAGTGGTTCGAATCCCGTACAGGCCTGAAATTTTTTTCAGGTCTGATTTTCACTATTGCTCAAATAGTGCTTTACTGCGAAGGATCGTTCTCATATACGTCTCATAACCGCAGTTCACACATATGTTTCATATGTTTGTTGTTGTTTAATCAATTCAATGTGTATTAGAGTGGCGGACTTGAACCCAAGACCAAAAAGTTACAAGCTCGGCGTCCTAGCATCCTAAAAGGAGTTTCTCATCAATGTCAGGTGACTCTGATGTGGGCCACCTATCGGGTAGTTGAAATGGCAGCTTCTGTCACCAACGCATTCCCTTTTCAGGACTACTTTCGTATAACGATACACTACGCATACAATAAACTGTTTCTAAAAGTTCAAACCATGGAGTGTATTGATCAATTAAAAGCAGCACTAGCAAAAAATATATATATTCCCTGAAAAGCATTTTTTTAAATAAATTGTGATAATTATTATGTGGCAACGATTAGTTCAGGGACATGTCGACAAACGTGTCACAAATATTGTGTCACGTACTCGGTATACCTTGTTACCATCAATTTTCATGACTAGCGTCCATCCACCACCCCCGCATGCTTCGAGGTCATCCGTCATATGACAATAAACTGGGATATTCCGTAAGGTTGATAGGAGAACGTAAGCTTTGTTCTCTTTTGACCTGATAAAAAATAGGGGAAAAGCGATGTATTTTATCTAAATATATTCATGTTACTGGTAGACTTATTAGTAGCATAAAAAATACGGTTGACCAGAAATAATGGGTTTATGTTCACGCCGCGATATCTGCGGCAAACGACAAAAATTCGATAAGTGTCGGTGGAGTGACGTTGAAATGCCGATGGTCTGTATCCTTATAGACTGATCTCGGTCAACAGTTGATCGACATGTCGGTCGCCCGTCGGCCGAATGTCGATCGAGATACCCTAATAAGAGATGAGTGATCCCCTTACTCCAGTGATATCATTAATTGAAATTACCTAGTAACTAAGGCTATTGTAAAATTTTCCGTTAAAGCAAACATACTTGACGTGAACACTATGATCTTGCAATTGTTTGCCATCGATCTAGCGTGACTTGATGATAATAGGTGAGCACGTAACATATAACACACTACAGAAATGCAAATAGTTGGTTATCATATCGACCGATAATTTCTTAGTGTGATTGGGTGAAACTAGTAGTTAGAATTAAGTGCATGGCTGTGGGAGCAATACGCCTTACAGACAAAACAGTGTAAATGATACCTCTACTCGCCTGAGTGAGTATTGTAGTCAAAGGGTCGAATATAACAGATTTGTTCGGCGCGCGATACCTTCCGTGAAAGAAAGGCGAAAGCATTGGACTTTTGCCTGACAAATTTCGCCTAAGTCTTGCTTAAACTTGACCTTAATTGGGATCAGTTAACAAGCCCAATCAAAGCGATGACTTACTTTTCATTCTCAAAAATCTCTTTGCACTGTTAGAATAAGCTGTCTGCCAAAAATGAACTGCAATCAGATCAGAATTAAGCCAACCAGAACAACAGAGACAAACTTTCAAAATTTGTATCAGAGCTGAAACATATTTCCTCCCCACGTGTAACGTTGACTAAAGCACTGACAAGTCTCTCCCCAGTTGCTTCGATGGATTTGATTGCCTCGTGTTTCACGGAAATGGTAATCAGTACACCAACTACAGCAGCCAAAATCGCTACCACACAAGGTAGTAAAACGAACCAGACGTTCATAGAGGGTTTTTCCTCTTGCCACAGCTTAAATTTCTGATCGGGCTGTTTTTTGTCTTTAACTGGGCTCTGTGAGTGCGTCATAATCTATCAGGAAATCAATCGGCAAATGAACTTTTAAGCCCCTGATTATAACAAGACACAATTACGGCGTTACTACATACAGAAAAAAAAAATCTTGCGTTACCTTATATTCGCCTTTATCACGCCACCGCCATCTTGAAAATGACGTAATGTGTTTTTACATGAGAACGAGGCGCCGCGTGGTTCCAGATCGCCTCAAGTAATCGAATCATGCCGAACAAAGGCTCGTTCCCATGGTTCTCGGAATATGTGACATTTGTGTTGGACGTAGCAAAACGCCTATTAGTCTACGATTAGAAAATTGAACGAGACTTACCTCAGTGGAAGTTGAAGTTTCATTGAAAATCTATTATGTGGATAACAGAGTGTGGAGATCACATGCCGTCCCCTTCGAAAAACCGGGGCCTGTTGTTTATGGTACAATAACCCTTACTATGAATACGAGTTACAAAAACTATCCCTCCAAGTTAAATGAATGTCTGCCTTTGTTAACATAAACAATCTTCTTAATTATTATGAACTATTTATTTTGTCGACCTGTTTGTTTGCTTTGCGTTTTTTGACTAGTCAGTACAGCAGATGCCATTATATTATGGGTTGATAAAAGAGGTTTGTCCTAAAACTTTTGAAATGTAATGACAGAAGTCCAGCCAACTTGAGCCAAGATAACATCTACATCCTTTAGCTTGGCTTTGGAAGCACTAGCTGCTCATGTGCTATTTTGCTGGTGAAGAGATTAGTGTCGACCATGTATTCTTTGAATTAGCGCAGTTTAAGTCCATCCGGAGAGGGTGTTTCTGGAGATCTGCTTTGTGTGACTTTGCAAAATCTTATAAATCACTGGTGTTCAGATTCCTTAAGGGGTTTTGTATGTTGAAGATAGATTCTAAGAGTACGTAGAGGACATAGCTGAGGGTTAAGCTTGAACTCTTGGATTACAAGAGGTGTGGCTGGTCGCTTAGGCTTATTTGTATTAGCATGACTAGTACGCTGATAAGTGCAATTTTTTTGAATGTGTGAGATTCATAGCTTTAATATTCAACAGGTGGATTGATTGCCCTCTTTGACTCGAAACCAGTAACAACAACATTAACAGCCGTTAATGTCAGTTGTTTGAATGATAACTTTTCTGGGGGAGAAAGGTTTGCCAGATCATGAATAAGAACTGTTGAGGCATTCCATTTCTAGCTGTACTTTATTTTTCAGTTTCGCATTTGTTTTGAAGAGTTCTCTTAAAGTGACTGATGGACGGTTTAATATCTTTATGCCTACAACTCCATAAATAGCTTTTGCATAGAATTAGTACATAATTGACTTCATCCATCCCCTCCTTCAAGATTCCTGACTACGTCACTTACATCTGCAACTACTAATATTATTCAAACTGTTGTAATAACATCGATCCAAAAAGAGTGCGAAAAGGGGCAAGTAAAGTAAGTAGCAAGGAATTTAAAATGTTCGTTTTTGCGGAGGAAGGAAAACCGGAGGACCAGGAGAAAAACCATGGAAGCAAGGACGAGAACCGACAAACAACAAACTCAATCGACATTTGACGTCAGCAAGGGCCCGTTACTCTAAAGTCCCAGTAACTAAACGGGTTCTAGCACCCAAACCAGGCCTTTTTGTTTCTTTAGCTGACGTTTCCATTGTATCATTTTCAAAACTTTTGAATACCCATCTTGAGTTAGAACAGAACAACTTTACGAGGCCCGTTAAGTTACCAGAACTTTCGAGAAATGGATCCCAAGTCCGGGAATCGAACCCGGGCCACAGCGGTAGGAGGCGAGCGCCATCCCTGTTCCCCTCAGCTGGAGGTTTTCCAGATTGGGTGTGAAGACTCAGATGTTGAAGAAGTTTCTTGTATGGATACGATATCCATGGTTGGTTGTAAGGCTGCTGTAGAAGTAACGGAAACCAGGGCTGAGTTGGCCATACCCGGAAAGTTATCTTTTGAAGGCATCGTGGGTCAGGCTACAGAGTGAAAAAGGATAAAAAATGTAAGAATTCCAATCAATGAGAAAGTATCCACAAAGGAGCTTCCTGGGTCTGGTTTCAAAGAACAATGGTCAATAGTGTTACTGACCTAGGCTGGACTTCCAGGTACTACAGCTATTTTGAGAGTGGCTTACAACTAATGACTGAAATCTCTTTTCCCTTGGAATCGGTCATTGTTGGTCATCAGGGGAAGAGAGGGTGGTCTTGGGATTTCGGTCGTGTCATAAAGTTTACCTGATTTCCCCACCCCCGCCCCCCAGAATGTTCTTTGCAGTTTATTTTTCCTTTTACCATAAAGTAAATGTTACTTAACTTATGATAAACTTGTAGAAGTATTTTTTGTAAGTATCAGTTGGTTTCAAGGATAAACGTAATCACTGTTGTTCAGTATGTAATTCGAGGATGTCAAATTTTAATATACCTCTTAGTTTGAAGCCTTGTACAGATTTGGATGGTCGCTCCCATCCTTCTTCAACGTCCCTCACCCAACGTTCTCCAAAGGTCATGAGTCGTGTTTTATGCATTTATTAGCGATAGTGTTTGAGATCAGTTGTGGCCGCTAAATGACCCACAAGGCCTATTGTTGTGCAAGGCAAATTTTTCTCTCAGTCTCTCCGAGTCTCTCCGATGGCAGAGAAAAGTGAAGAACACCAGCTGCATCTCAGTGACAACTTGGCTTAAGTCATTTAGGGACTGGCTGTTATTCAGCGCCTAGAGGCTTGAAAGGGGGGGGGGGGGAAGCAAAGGATTTTGTTTACGTCACTGTTTGCTTCACTACAAAATGTACCCGATCCCTCTTTTGTAATATCCTTATGTTCCTCATCATTGGCAATGAAAGGGTAACTGGCGGCTAAAATGTCACTTTTTGGAATACCGTATAAATACCTCAGGTAACATTGAAACAGACAGAGGGTACTTCGGATGCTTCTTTGTACCTTTTTTCGCTCGAAACACTGTCCTAAATGCCGTTTCGTAGGTCATCCGATGTAAACGCTTCGAATTTGATCAGGTGACCTGATACGTCACACGTGTGTACACTCAGCAAAGTAAACATGGCGGAGAGTAGTTTTAGACTAGCGACTAAATACAGGAATGGCTCCGACCTGTAATTGGATGATAAAAATAGTAAAAGTTATTAAGTTATATCTTAACTCCTTGCACGTGAGTATTTCCTTTTTTCAGGTATAGTAGAGTTGTTAAAAATTGCCAAGCGAAATTAAAGTAATCTGCGACTTTCTTCCTTTCGGTGTTGTGCAAAAAATAGACGAGGAGCCCGATGAATGGATTTGTCTTTCATGTGAACAATTTTCCCAGAAAGTCAATGTGGAAAGAGTACCATATAATCCCATACATTAATTATGCATTCCACTTCTTTGTCTTTCACGACAAAACTTTAAAAACAAAGTCTACTAGTCTGAATGCATAATTAATATATAGGGTGATATGGTACTCTTGCCAGTCAATGTTCCACGAAGAAAACTCCCTCGATTGCGGCCAAGCCACATTTCTCCAGCAGAGCATACTGTAAATTAAAAATATCGGTCGGAGCGTCACGTAACATTGCGTGATTTTCGTAACGTGACATGCAGTTGCTGCGTTAAAACTTTAGACATCACATGGCCCTGTATTAATTTATGAGGGCTCCATTCACAAGCATTGTAATGTTCAACTTAAGAAGAACTTAATAAAAAGCTCTTTCGATTTTATTTCAGTTTAAAATTTATTTCGCCAAAAAGACAAAAAAAATAAAATTAATAAACGCATGAGTCGGAGCCATTCCTGCCAGCGGTGAAATACAGGAATGGCTCCAGTCTCTAGTCGTCCACCTGAACTGAGTCTGCACTGAGTAAATGAGTCTAGTCAGCGGAACGAGTCAGCAGACGACTTAGTCCTCTCCGGAATATCGCTGAACTAGAAAGGTCTCCCCTTCGTTATGTAACTAACCATCTCTTGTTTGACACATCGGAGTTTTCAGTCGCATTGATATTTCACTGTTACGCATGGAGACACACGGTTAAACAATACTCACGTGCAAGGAGTTAAGATGTAACTTATTAACTTTTGCAAACTTTTACCATTTTTATCATCCAATTACAGGTCGGAGCCATTCCTGTATTTAGTCGCTAGTAGTTCTAGTAAAAGCAGTTCGAACTCGGGGTCCGAGTATTCGGATTTTGAGCCTTCGATGGAAGGCGAAAATAATGAAATGGTTTTTGAGCCTGTTGGCGAAATCAGGCCCTGGCGATTTGAATCCCCCCGGTAGAAATGAAAGTAGAGCGCGAGAGTCCGTAGAGGATCAAGAGCCCGTACGCCGCGGCCGCCTCAATCAAGAAAGCGACGAATGGTGAGTGCATTACACTTGTAAATGTTGTATCTGAAAATCTGACACGTATTGAATATAGGAGCGATCAAGTAAAACAAATTAAATGTGCAGACTCTTGATTTCCATGGGAGCGATGTGTTTATATGCTACACGCGTTCACCTTCCAAAACTTAGGTTTTCACAGACCGAAAATATATACATACAAGCTTGTGGAGGTGTTATGGAAGGATTCATTTTTGGGAGTACTTTTCCACGTTTGAATATCTAGGTCTACATTAGTAAAATCCAATTTGGGCCTTCTAATTGTTCTGGATCCTCTTAGAATAATTCTAATTGTTCTGGATCCTCTTAGAATCATGATAGTGATAATGATAATGATAATGATAATGATAATGATAATAATGATAATGATAATGACACAGTAGTAACCAGATGACGACCAGGAGAGTATACCACGTCTATTTTTTAGAATGCCAAAAGCAAATTCGACCTTACTCTTTCAGCTGCTTCCCTTGGGTCTTACTTGCCTTCTGGATTTGGTTTCAGGAATAGGCATTATCACCTTAAATATAGGGACCTATTTCACACCACAGGTCGGCTGGTTTAGGTTGTCCCCCTCTCCAACTCTTTGAGGGATGATACTGCACCCCAAGACGCAAGCGTCGTGCATACTTCCAGCAAGTCCACGTGCAAAGTCTATAACCATCTTACTGCCATCAACCTTATAATTAGCTTGGATTATAAAGTCTTTTGTTGAGACCGACTGAAATAATCCAGTGCACTGTCCTTAGGTCCTTTTATTATGAGTTGTGAGCCGTCGATAGGACCAACATGTTGAGGTAGATTAGTAAGGTTCGCAAACATTTTAATCCATGAAAATTTATTTTCTTGTAAGTGACACCCCTGTGCTATGAATAGGTACAAAAAGTCCATTCCCAGACTTTCATTAATCATTACCCGAGTGCAGCGGCTCACACAAACTTTGATTTTCTTTTAGGTTTCTTTTATTAATTAGTTCTGCGTCAAAATTATGTACCAGGGATACAAGAACACTTAGTTTTAAGCATAAAACTATTCAATTTTTTTACAGCCGTTTGCAAAGGGTAATCCCCACTAGTTGATAGCTGCGATCAAAAGAAGCAAATATTCCTAAGAAAAAGGGAGTAGTGCGTGACTGTAAGTCATTCAAACATCATTGAAAGTTACATTTTCCAGTTGCCATTAATTGATATTAAGATTTCCCAACATATAACTGCAAAAAATGCTTTCACAACAAGAATCCTCAACTATTACCTATAACTATGCTTGCTAGGTCAGCCGGGGCTGTGGAACTGGCTGCTTTCTAAAAGGATAAGCTTTTATCGAGCGGTAAAAAATCATTGACCATAAGTAATTTGGTTTCTCACCACTCTTTCTATTAATAATAATTATATGGCTTTGGCTCGTGGCCGATATAACGCGCGCTCTGACTGGTTAAGAGTGGCCTCAGAGCAGGCCATTTTGCGGCGGTAATGCCCACGGGCCGATTATGGATTATGCAAATTAGAAAAAGCACTAAATATAAATGTCAGAATAGGACCGCGGCGGCTCTTTACGCTTTTTGGAAATTCGAGCGAAATTCTAAGAACTTAATCTGTTAGCCAAGGATTTATGTTCAAAGAATGTGGAATGCTGAAAATGATGCATGAGCCTACACTGATCAATAGTGTTTAATAGCGGAGCGTAGCCCCATGATTATACAAAATAGTAGTAGTAACCCATCAAGCCGAAAAAATTTGGACTTACGACCGTGCGGGCGTCCGTTGGGTGCTACTTTTAGCATGCGCGGTCAACTGCACCGCGGGCACGCCAACGCCACGGTTTTGTCCAGTAGTCCAGTGGTCAGTGCACTGGGCTCCGAGTCGGACGACCCTGGTTTTAGTCCTGCCCGGGGCAAGGCGTTGTGCCTTTGAGACGTGCGAGAAAAAAAATGCAAGCTCGCTTTTAGGCTTAGCTAAATCTATATACGACTGATACGGATCGGACTCCAAGTAATACCACTGTTTTGAATGGTTTATAAAACCCCGCAGGCGGATTCTGATTCAATAAAAATTTCAAACTAATCTGATGTACTTACTGAAAGTTGCAGAGGCTTTTGATCGTTCATTGGTCATTGAAAATTATGTCAGTTGCATTACATGGGTAAGGGGGTAGGGGATGGGGGATGGGAGAGGAGAAACATCAGATAACTAATGAGAATTCCTATTTGTCTTAGTAAGGTAGCCTACAAGTTCTACTGAAACTCCGCTGGTCTGATTTTCATCTCAGCCCTCTTCACAGAGTAGTAGTATCCTTTCCAGTGATACCAGTTGACTCCATCAGCAAACGATGTGTGCTTCCCATGATGATAGAAGCCGTTGAGGTTTGAGCTATGACAGGCTGAGTACCACCAGGCTCCTTTACGTGTCACAGCACAGTTATTGTCGGAGCTGTCCTTGGTTGAAAAGGGATAGCCATGATGTATTGAAAGGGAGTCGCCAGCTGTTCCTAAAGTAAAGTTAAATTTGAAATTAGCTCTTGCGAGTCATGCAGTCATGCAATCTAACCTTACCTCAGAAGTAAAGACACAAATACCCGATATCCACTGTCGAGAAAACTGAGTTACAGTTTTGGAATCTAAATGCTTATTCCAAGCTGTCATAGACAATTTCCATGTAGAGCGCCATACTGCGTGTAATTTGGCACTACAGATATAAACATGAGTATGCCAAGCAAGCATGACAAGTTAACACTTTTTGGCGGGTGGGTCGAGGTAGCTGATGAATTCAGGTTTATGAAGAAAAAGTGCATTAACCTTCAAAAGAACGAAAATATCGTATTACTTTACCAGCTATATGTACAGAAGGCAATATAAAGGATTTGAGGACAAAACCTAATCTAGTAGGGGAGGTAGGGGATAACGGTTTACCAGAGTATGTCTTTATTCTCAACTTGTATTTTTTGCTTTCGTCCTCCACTGCAAACACGTCATACTCAGCGTAAGCAGTATTGCCTTTAAAATCTTCTAGGTCGACTCGAAGCTTGCTCGGAGATTTTGTCAGTCGGTGTATTTTGTCCAATCCGAGCCAAAACTCGCCATTAAGGTTACCAAAGCCTTTCTTGTAGAGAGACCAGCCGCGGTAAAAATCAACAGAGCCATTAAGTCTCTTTTGGACCACCGTCCATCCCCCTCCGGCAGTTTTTTGGTCACAAAACACTCTTAAGTCAGGTCCAGCATCATCCGGGTTGATTACATGAACACCGCTAGTTATTTTACCAGATTTGTACACCTCGGCACAGTTCTTATGCACTGACAAAAAATAATATAAAAATAATAATAAAAATAATAATAATGGCAATAACAATAATAATAATAAAACTGATAATAATAATAATAAAACTGATAATAATAATAATAATAATAATAATAATAATAATAATAAAACAGTGGTAGCGAGATGTCAAAAAAGTACAATGTCAAAAGCACATTCAACCTTAATTCTTCCAGAGAAAAGTTTCTCATTGCAACATTTCCTTTGGATTTTGTGTGCCCTCTGGATATGGTTTCATTAGCCAAGGGGAAAATAAGTATAATGAGTCGCGGATATATCACGTTTGAATGGGTTTTCAAGATAATTAAATTCCTTTTTGCGAAAACAGACACTTTTACATGAAAACATAGGCAGCCAATGGGTAACTCTCGGATAGAGCCGGAATCACTTGAACTGCTAGGGTGATATTGGTCGAATTGGCAGACGTTACATTTTTGCTATCGCTCAGTACAAAACTGCAGACTGCAAACCGCACACCGCCGGGTACAAAATGAAGACTAGGTACAAAATGAAGACTAGGTACAAAATGAAGACTAGGTACAAAATGAAGACTAGGTACAAAATGAAGACTAGTTACAAAATGAAGACTAGGTACAAAATGAAGACTAGGTACAAAATGAAGACTAGGTACAAAATGAAGACTAGGTACAAAATGAAGACTAGGTACAAAATGAAGACTAGGTACAAAATGAAGACTAGGTACAAAATGAAGACTAGGTGCAAAATGCAGACTGCAGACTGGATACAAATGCAGACGGAGAGTTGTTTTTTCGTCCGAGTGTAACTCAATGATCGCTTCTACGCGATCATCTTTCGTTATCGTTTGCACTATTTAAACAATAGAGTGTTTCTGCCCCGGCCGGACCAACACTTAAGGTTTTAAATTGAGAAGAATATGCTGCCTTTCTATAACATCAAGAAATGGTTAGATGTTCTAGTCTTCTCGGATAGGGACGAATAAATGGAGGTCCCGTCTCCTGCAGGGTTAGGGGTAGGAGATGTTAATTTCCCACGCACAAGATTACTGTGCGATGGATGTCCTCCCCTGGGGTGGGGTGAGTGGGTTGCTGTCTTGCGTTTCATACATGAACCTCTGGCTCGGGCAATCTGGGTAACCATACCCCACGTAAAGACAATAAGCTTAATTGATTGACTGATTGATTGAACTATCAGCTGATAGTTGCCCTGCGGAAATTTGATGTTCTTAAAACAAATATTTTCTCGAGAAGCGAAGCTTCGAGGGCAAATATGCTAGTTTTAAATATAGAGGCAAGACTGATACAACGTAGATAAGTAAATTTTAAGACGGAGCACTATATTTCGGCTGGCCAAACCAGCCTTCTTCAGGTGCAGTGGGAATTCCCACTGCACCATAGTCTTGCCTCTATATCTATATTTCATATTCGTTATTTTGGGCCGATTAGATCATCGCTGATCCAACGTACAAGAGTAGGAGTATCGTCCTCGGTTGCCTGCTGAACATTTCACAGCTAGTTTTAAGAACATGAAACTTCCAAGGGGCAACTATCAGACCGATAATTACGAGACATAAACACTCTTTTGTCTTTATTGTTTACCACTAAATTTTCTTCCGCGCGCCAGTTGAAAGACAGTCAAAACCCATTAAACGTAGATCAATCAAATATTTATTCATGGGTACAGCCTTACACAAATGTCAATAATTCGCAACCGTACATTGGCTAAATAACACGTCATACTTGTCTGAATTGAAAAGTCACTATTTTTCCGATCTGCCTAACTTCGCGGCCGTCAGACCATTCAAAATTTTTCCCGAATGAGTACTATCCATCCGTGTATTTTCCGCGAACGGGCACTGTGGGCTGATAGCGTCTCTCCGCTCTCCATTATCGCGTCACGTGATCAATTTAAACCAATACGAATCGGAGAACATTTAGTGGTGAACTATAAGGGCTGATAGTTTCTCTCCACGGATAAACACTATCGCGTCACGTGATCAATTTAAACCAATACGAATCGGAGAAAATTTAGTAATGAACAATAATGTGGAATATTCCTGACCCGTTTCCCCGTTAAGTTTGTTTAAGCTTACGTTTGATTTATAGTTTTGCTGATATGAGTGCTAATAGGTTCTCTCACTAAGTTTGATCAAAGTTTCGCTCAAAGTTCCTCTCGTAGGATTGACTCGTAAAAGGCTCACCATCTATGAACCCTTTGTGAGCTTGGAGGATCGACAAGAAAACCTCTCGAGGAGTCAAATCCCTTCACATTTAGCGTCTACACCCATAGTCACACCTTTTTTCTTTCAAAGAGCTTTTGTCAGTTACACATGTGCTGACCGCGACGAGTTTTAATCGGAACTCCCTCGAAGAAAAGACAAATATTTCAACGTCGTGGCATTACTTTGGAAAGGCAATAGAGGTCCAAGAGGCGTGCCGGTATTATTTCTGAAAGTCAATATCAATTGGTCTGCGGTTGACAAATCGACTTGTTCGTATCTAAGTGAAAAACAAATTTGCAGATTTTGACCCCTTAGAATGGTCGTTCCACGCTCCGCGTATCGACGACTAAAAATAGAAGTAACGAGATGAAGACCTGGGTTCAGTTGTTCGATGGCCGCTTAGCGCTAACCCAGGATTAAATTGAAATCCAGGTTTCTTTATTTCTCTACTCAACAGCCTTTCTAGGATTATTTTCCCTTTTCTTTTAGAGCATTCAGTCATCATACTTAAGACCAAAAGAGTTATACTGTTTTAATTTCAAGCTTTCAGATCCGAAATCAAATTTCACATCCACCCTGGGTTGTCTCAACCCAGATTTGAACAACCCGACCCTGGAGCTTCGAGGAACATAAGCATAGTGAGTACCGTGGTGCGTAAGTAGCGTCACGCAAAGCACATCAAAGTTTTCCTCGAGCATCATTCTCGGAAAATTGTTCGCTAAAACTGTAAAAAAAAAAAACCTACTGAAAAGATTACTTCTGGAATCGGGGCTATGAAACGTGTTAGGCGCCTGGTTTCTCAAACGACCCTGCATCTTTTGAAAATACTTGACTTAAAAGTACTAAGCTTGAATACAACCTCACTTTGATTACAAGACAAGCTGCAAAAATTGCAGAAAAGAGCAGCACGTACTCTGACATTCTCAAATTATGTCACTGACGCTGCCTGATTGTTAGAATTTTTTTTACCGTCAGATTGTTAGAATTTTTTTTACCGTCAGCGGAACATATAAAAGACCACCACGGTTTTCAAATGCCATCATGGAAAGTCGTTGCGTGACGAACATCTCTCATATAACACGGGTTGAAACATGTCACGGTGTGCTGCTTCATTTTGCCTGCCAAGTACCCCTTCCTGTTCTTCCTTTCAACAATTCATTTCTGCATTTTTGGTGGGGTATAGTTATCTGGCAAGTTAAGGCGATGTAGTTTCACCAAAATTTGGAGTCATATGCAGTTGAAGGTGAACTAAAGAAGGAAAGCAGGTGCTTGCAATGTGTTATTTATTTTCAATATGGCGGTGAAAGCGGCAGAAATCGGCAAACAGTGACTTATGAGTTAAACCGTTCCTTTTTCATTTCACCATAGGTAAATGCAATTTGACTATAATGAGCGTGCAGGTGTGCCTTGCTTTCAAGGTTCTTTCTTTGTTTTTTTCGCATTTTCTTTAATCGGCCCATCGATGTTTTGGTTTGACAATGGAAGCCACTGGTCGGCACGGGCATTTTTGTGTACCTTCTGTGCCTTCAAATTAAATTAGTTCACTGTGATGTGAACTGTGATGCTTAGTGTAGTAACACCTTACGCTTGAATTTGAAGCCTCACAGAAAGATATCCCACCCATGGAAACCGTTACCCCATGAAAATCTCAGACATGCGCAGATAACATTACTTTGTAACACTGCGTGAGAAAAGGAACGCGGGTTCATCCCGCGAGTTGTTTACATTGATGTTGATGGCACTCAAAAGATCTTACGGCAGCCAGTTTTCTGGTAAAAATCAGCCATGAGCCAAAAAGAAGCAGAGAAAACATGTGGACTATTCTGAAAAAATAGAAAAATGCAGCGTTGCAGTTCAAGTGCGCGACTTTTTAAGGGAAGAAAAAATCGATCGACTCGAGAGTGTAAGAGTTTCAGGTCCAAAAATCTGTTAAGAACTGTCAAAACTCTACGACGCAGTCTAGTTAAGTGTTACTTCAGGAAGGAATGGAAATGCAAATACTTGCAAATGTTTAAGAATACTACAACTGATTACCTGAGCTACCAATTACGGAGAATGATTTTCATTCCCATTCTGAATTTTCCGCGATTGTAACTTGCGCGATCGTTGTTCGCATCACTTTAAAATGGTTTTAATCATAACCCAACAATACTCCCACCGAACATAAGCCTAAAAATAACCTTGAATTTCAAGACAGAGTAGTCGATATGGCCACATAGCCAGGTTTTGCAGGCTTTTCTTTATTCAGCTCTTTGTGGCGGCAATAAACGCAAGGGAGGCAGTACGCGCACTCAAAAATGAAAAAACTAAACAGCGGCCCAAATCCTCACAAGTTTCGTGCCCAAGCAAATAAATGTAAAGGCAAGTTAATTTTTTCCGGTCAGCAGATCATAAGAACGCATATCTTTACGTATTATACAGTATCGAGAGTTTAACAAGTGAAGTTTTAAGGCTTGTGTTAGGGGAGGTTTTAGTAAACATGAACAAATTTATCTGCGCACGGACCGCTGTGGAAACGCAATAGTTTCAGTTATTCAACCTTACAAATCCCTTGCAATTGTGATAACATTTTTTTGCCAAATTGAAATTCCACATTCTAAATATAACTCATTGATAAGATTTCTAGTAGGAAAATTTTACTTTGTTTTCTTTGTTTCCAAACTCTATCACGTGAAATCAGTTACATTTAACAAACTTCAATTGTGTCACCTTTTCATAATTTCAATATTTGTAAAAAGGACGGTACATCCAATTGAGAAAGGACGAGTTCAGGCTTCAAACTCAACTTAAAAGG